GGTTAATTAGGGAATCCTAAATGCAGAGATCTTGCGAAGAGTTATATGGAAGCATCTTGGGGTAGTGTAGATTTTAAATTGTTCAAATCATGACCCCCGGGGGTTGGACAGGGCTACAATAGGGAATCAAAGTTTAATATCGAAATATATGAAAAACATTTTCTTCTTAAGAACTACAAGGACCAGAAAAGCTGAAACTTACAAAGAGGCATCCTGGGGCAGTGTAGATTCTAAATGTTCAATTTATGATCCCGGGAGTAGTACAGGACCATAATTTGGAATCAGAATATGCTATTACAAGGGGATTAAGAAATGGTCAAAGCTTCTCAGGTGAGCGATGTGCCCCATGGGCCTCTTGTTTGACACATTTTTAAAAACAAATTAATAGCAGTATTGAAAGTGAACAAAATGTCATTTATTCAGTTAAACTGCCTGCGTCTCGGGAAATAATCCTGTTCATGGGGAACTGGAATCTTCCTAACACCCTTATTGATATATTTTAACTGTACGATGTCTTCTGGACGAATGCGGTTGGCGCCGCTCTTCTTATAGTGTACACTCTGATTTAGCTGCAATAATGTATCCCTCTCCGATTTTTTTTATCTGATGTTTTCTGGAGAGGGCTACAATTCCATCGCATCTCCGTAATGGTGCAAATATATTTTTTTAAATACGGGCGATTGAAGTCAAAATAAATTATTTTTACATTCAACTTCTTATAAGACGGAATTTTTTATTCACTGTCAACAACATAGCCCGCTAAACTCGTAAACCATGTAAAATATATCTGCATGTTTACCAGCAGCAGCCATGACAGTTAACGCGTGACGTACTGAGACTTTCGCTTGAAATTTAGAACTAAAAAAAGCAAATATCGATGTTTATAAACGACTGTGCTGAAATGTATCACAAAAATATTGATAAATAAAACCATTTCAAGTGTTATTTTTATGCAAACAGCGATATGTATGCTTAAAATAAGGGAATTCCTAAAAGATCCGATCCTATAGATTCTAAATTCTCATTGTCTGTCCCAAAATAAAATCTATCAAGGTCAGTAATCATGGCGGATAATTTCAAGTTGTGATGTTGACATACACGAAAAATAACCGATATATGGGTCGTTGTGAATATTTTTGGATCGATTTATGTCTTGCATTGTTACTTTTTTGGAGTCCAGGTAAGAGATGTTAATAAAATAGCCGTTTACTGTTGATTTGAGCCGAAATCCGTGCGGGAGCGATTCACTGCCGCATTTGCACCATTACGGAGATCCTAAGGAGTTGTAGCCCTCCCCCCCCCCCCCCCCCCCCAAAAAAAAAAAAATTGGATTGGGCTACATTATTGCAGCTACCTCTGATTTTGCTCCTCGATTCCCAATTCATTCTTGATGAAGTATATCAATACTGCCTCAGTATCGAATTCCATTAAGAATCAGATTATCACGCATTGTGCACATCTGTAGTTCCAAATGTCGCGCATTCAGGTCAGATATTAGTCTTGTTCCTTTCTACCATGACGTCTGACCTGGACCACCGATTCCTTAATTTTATTAACTTACTTCGCTTTTCATCATACTGCTTGCCTTTAAAAAGTATACCTTCATACATGTCATTCCTTTTAGATCTCATTTCCGGTAGCTCATTGTTTGTAGTCATCACATTTGTTTTTCAATTTCTTTGACGTGTTACAGTTTATCTTACATCGCTTTCGGCTAGAGTGTCAGTTTTTTTTTTTGTTAAGTAATGATTTTGAATTGATAAACTTAAACTCATTGTTAATTTTTTTTGCTTCAACTTTTAAGAAATTGAGGCACCCAATGGGATACCATCATTTACATATACATTATGTTTGGATAACCTTGCTAGCTCACTTAAAATACTTGGCCCAGAATGATCCCAAAGCCAGATGAAGATGTACCGCCTCCTTGATATGAGGTGCCTGAGGTTGAGATGATGATATAGCCGTTGTATGCCCCTGTTGGGATTCCATTAGGGATGCAACTGTGGATGGATTGTTTGTAGACTGTTTAATTATGGCAGCTGCTAACTTGCCTTGGTCTATAGAGGGGACAGCGTTCAACTGCACTGTCGCATTTGCGTCAGCATTGTTAAGGTTTGTGTCAGCCATCACAGTAAGTCATTCGTGTTCCCAGATTTTCGCTTCTTATGAATTTTCGAGGAAATCCCTTTTAAGGAAATTTCCCCATTGGAGGCATGGTGGTGACCTTAGAAAATAGGTTTTTATAGTAAATTCTGTAAATATAATGAAAATGTTTTTAATATTCACATATGTTACGCATACAAAGCCTGATCAATGAAGCATTATTGTATACATTACGTAAAATAATTTCAACATCAAATGTAATTATTTGTCTGTCAAAATACAGGTTTGCTCTAAAGTCGCGAAGAAGGGAATTGATCCTTACGTCGCGGGTTAAAATCCCTCTGTGGGACGTAGAGACAATTTAAACCGAGGTTCCGTGTCGCAGAAGGTGCTGGCACAAAAAAGATCCCTCCCTGCTCGATGGCCCTGAGTGCCTAGTATAGGACAAAATTTGCAGTTCTCCACTGGCAAGTGGTGGCGTCTCCGTATGTGTGAAAAATTCTCGAGAGGGACGTTAAAAAATATCTCATTCAGCTCAATCCGCCTTATCTTAGGTAAGCTCTGATAGTGATCTGCAGCCTTATCTGACTCCCTGTGGCTGATGTACAATCAACAACCAAGAGATAATTGCTCATTACTTTTTTATTTATACATCTATTGTTATGATATTATCGGAATAATAACAGATGAAGTATTGCTGATTTCAATAATATAATTTTGAACAACGTTACCAATATCAATTCGAATATATTCCAATAAACAAGTACAAATTGTTGTTAATTTCATGAATAATCACATATTAAATCTCATTTATTGTCCATATATTTCAGGAAATTTCCCCAAATGATAGGGTTTAAAACAGTCAGTACATAGGTTTATTTTGCATTGTTCTCATCTACTGAGGGGCTCCTTTTCTGATGCCCTTTTTAGTGCATTATTTACACCTTCTCTGTTTGTCAGTGGTATAGGGCTAATGATGCTCCTGCGAACGTTCCACAATGGTGTGTTTCCTTTTCCTAGTCGTGAACATACCTATCAGCTGATGGGGCAGTTTACAGCGAAATTCCAGTTCTGGTTGTGTTCTGGTTCTCTGTTGATCTTAGTTCTCAAAATGTGATTTGGGGATTCGCGCAGCAGAATAAATGCATTTACAATGCAGACATCAATCAAAGTACTCAGAAGTACAGAGAGCCGGGCTCATTTACAGAGTAGAATGGATTTCTTACATGAATCACGTTTATATTCTGATGAAAAAAATATTTTAAAACTATCAATATAAATGATAAGACACTGACAGTGAGTTTTTCAATCCTAATACCACGGTCGGATTTTGCCAGAATCAGAATAAATCTGGTACCGCAGCTGAATGTAAACAAACAGGCCAGTCTGGTTCCCTCTCCTGCTTTACCTCGTATGTGTAGAGAACTACGGTAACACTGATTATCAAAAATCCTTACGCTAATGAACTATGTTCTTTGACTTATGAAGTTTACAAAGTCATTACTACTAATGTTTATTTTATATAGATAAAACTTCGTTTTATTTTTGTTGTTTTATTTAGCGTTTGTATTATCTCAAAAGCGGTTGAGAGTAAGAACTATATTTTTGCACGTAACTTTAAAATGGCGACTATGGGGTTAACATCCTGCCTTGAACAGGATCACATAAGCCGGCATTTGATCTTTGAGCAATAAGCCCGGCTAAAAAGAAAAAAAAAGAAATACTTCCACCATTTCAGACTTTCTCTTGAAATATTTTATGTAGACCAAATTTGGTCCGCATGGTCTACACCATTCGTATGAGCATTGTACCATTTCACAACATCTGGACAGCCAACTGCCTTCAAGGATCCATGATTCTGCCTCCTTTGTACTTCTTGGTCTGCTTAAGTTGTGCTCGTTGACATAATAGTAAGATTTCTTTGTCTTTCCAAAGAGTTGCAATCATGTTTCCTTTCTGTTTTACAATGGAGTCTCCTTGTTGTTTTAGTTTCAACTTCTTCAGGTCCTTCGGTAAGCCTTTTCTGTTTGCTTTCACTGTCCCACAGGCGATTATTCCTTGATCCCAAAGTTTACGGAATAAGTCTGGCGATATGAAACTAGAAGTCTCTGTCGAGACCGAGCTCTACTGGTTTGTACTGATAATAAAGAAAAAGAAAAGTAGCAGTTAGGACTTATAATTTGACAAAATCAATAAATAGAATAATGATCCTTGATTGAGTCTCTTTCTGGGGCAAGATTGTAATAAGACTACAACTGTTGGAGTTACCTTTAATAAAATTTTACTGAATTTCAATTTAAATTACTATGGCAACATAAATCATCAAAATCAAAAACACAACACTGTTAATTATGTATCTCAGTTTAGTCTGTTGGCATGTCAAATCATATTATAATCAGACTCAAAATGTATTAGGAGTAGCATTCTAAAAGTATTTCACAGATATTTCTTGTTTAAGAAACCAAGGCAACACCATTCATCATTCAGACCCAAACTTTAAGATGAGTAGCATTTTGAATGTTTTTCACAAAAATTCCTATCTCTAGTAACCACGGCAACACTGTTCATCGAAATCAAAAACCGATACGCTGAAATATGTGTCTTAGTGCAGTCTGTTAGATTAAGGAGTCTTCGGTGGGCGATGGACCCAGAGGGACGCAGACATGTGTTGAAGACGTTTATTAAATCAAATCGCAGACTCGCATACAAAACAAAAGAAATTATCTGATTGGCTAATAATGATATAACATCAACTGGATTTACTCATAAACGAAAGTCGGTAAAAGGTTTAACTAATAACAGGAATATAACAAAAAAATAAAACTATTACTGAAATATGAATATAATAAAGCTTATACACAACTGCTCATTACTTAACATCAATCTGAATATCCTTAAGATGCGTAGGTAGGTACAAGGTGCACTCGATTGCGCCGGTATTTGTGGTCTACAGAACTGACTTCATAAGAGCGGTCATCTAGACGACGGATTACTTGACCTTTAGCCCAAGGGGCTTTACGGTTGTCGAATGGTTGTAGACGAACCACATCACCTTCCTCGAGAGGCTTGAGGACTTGCCTTTGATTTTCTGTCGAAATAGCTTTTCTGTGTTTCCTGTCGCTGCTGGATCTTACTGTTAATATCATCAGTCTGTATGCCTTCTGCTCGGAGAAGAGTAGTTGTCATTGGTAAAAGCGTACCTGAACGACGACCAAAAGAGCGCTGTACAGGGCTTGTGTTCTGTCCTTGGGTGGGTGTGTTCCTGTGACCAAGCTGTGCCAGATACACATCCCTTCCTGACGCCAGAGCTTTTTTGATGATAGTCTGCTGATTTTACTGCAGCCTCAGGTTTTCCGATGGCTTGAAAGTTTCCATGACTACTGGGCTGATGTCTGAAGTCATATTTTTCTGCAAAGTTCTGAAACTCGACACATGAGAATTGGGAACCGTTGTCCGAGACGACAATCTCAGGTAGTCCGTATCGAGCAAAGTGATACTTCATTCTCTTCATGACATTGGTTGCAAGTGTTTGGCGCAGTTCATCAACCTCAAAGTATCCTGAAAAATACTAGTAGTCCATACGAATGAGATAGTTGATGTTGTCGAGCTGAAAAGGTCAACACCAACCTTAGACCATGGTCGGTGTGGGACATCATGGGGCGAGAGTGGCATCTTGGTATTTGCCACTTCAGGGGTCGACTCGTACCAACCAGGTTTTGGTTCTCCCAATATGTTTCTTTTCGCATACGGTTCGTTTCCTCTGCCATTTTAATGTAAAATTCCTCTGTAGAAACCAAAGACCAAAGTCTATTTCCTTCTCGGCCTAACGTAAAACCCTCAAGTTCCTCTCCACTATCGTCGTCTCTAAAAAACCGCCGCCATGTTTGTTATTGATACCACACCACGCAGGCATTTTCTTTGTCTGGTTCTATATTTATAATTTTCTATTTTATTAATGAGGTAAACAACACAAAGGTTTTGTAAAACTTCATTTTGTTGGATTACTCCCTTCCATTTTCTTTATTTCCTCTTTCTTGGACCAATCAGCGTTTTATTTTTCAGTTGGGTTTTGGAACATATATATACGTCATCGGCTAAGCACATGTAGGTTTTTCCGACGTATATTCTCTGGGTGAATACTGCACTTAAAACAGGACGTATATATATGTCTGCGGGACTTAATGAGATAAACAATCAATAAATCAATCAAAATACAAGTTTTGTCGATTTGAACAGGTATGATACTTGTATGTCATGAAAGAAATAACATACAGAAATTGAGTACACTCTTGGTATTAACAATTTCAAATACAAGCCCATGGCCAAAATGCCATGAACTTTAGGTTTTTCTAGGAGCCGCACTACATGACATTCAACTTGAAAGAATGTTAACTATGCCAATATGCATATGCCGCAGAATGAATAATACGGAAATGCATAAAACTATGAACCTGCATAGAATTTAGTACAAGTTATGATAAAATTAACTTACTCTATTTATAAAATGCATAATGTCCAGGGTAGAATTCATTCCAAATTATAGCAAATGTACCTGATTTGTCATAATAAACATACGTTTGGTACTGCATAGAATTCAGAGCAAATTATCATAAAATGAACATTAATCATTTATGCACTGTTAATAATAAAAATGCATATGGTCCCGCATAGAACAAATAGCCACTTGTAACAAATGAACATGAACTAATCACAATGTAAAATGCGTATGGTCGGGCATTGAATATAAAGCACAAATTAAGACTACATTGTAAAACATGACATGTGTTTGCACTGTCCATAAAATAAAATGCGTATGGTCCCGCACAGAATAAAGAAATATATGGCAAATACCAAAATCTGCTCTACACTATTCATAATATAAAATGTGTACATCTACTGTGACCCACTTGATGGATATCAATTACTTGCATAGGTCTGTTGTTATACCTTAAGCTACCGTATTGGTTATCATCTTAATTCTTCAAACTGAAAAGATAATAAATATATATGCATGTTACAGTTGCAATCTTTTACATTACAATAAATATTTCACTTCGTAAATAAAAAATAACCTTATCATACTTATCTATAGTTTACCATTTGAATTACATGTTGTAGTTCTTAACCTTCGAAAATTTTTATTCACGCATAGACTCTGAAATGTATTGCTTTGGCAGTAGAATCAAGAACAATTTTCCAGACTATAGAGTAATATAACCTCCTGGTCTTTTGATTATTTTACTTAATAGACATTTCACTGCACCTACCGAGAAATTTAAATTCATATTTTACTCGCCTAATTGCGCCATGGATGTTTATGTAATATTTCGGAAGGCTATTCTGTCAAGTGCACCCGTCATAAAATATACATTGCCCCCCTCCACCAACCACCAAATAAAGACTACAACAAAAATAAATTTACATCGGTCTGAAGTAATCTTCTGTGTCGATGAAGGATGAAAGAATGCTTTGCTAGATCGTTTGAAAGGCTTTTTGCAAATGCAAATATTAATCAATGCTATTTTAGTTAGTCTTTATGCTCTGTGTGACAAATTCTCGTTCAGGGTCAAATCACTTGATTGATGATGGACAATAGAGGGTGAAAAACTGTGAAAAGGTGAGGGAGCGAGTCCACACAATTTTCAATAGAAAACGCTTTCGTATTTTGATATTTACTCTTTTAACATCCTGATCCAACTTCTCATGTTACACGCATAACTGAGAAAAGAGTGTCTCTGTAATATATCAAAAGGCTATTCTGTTAAATACATCCCGTCATAAAATATACATTGCCAAAAAAAAATGGGACTAGACTTACCTCAGTCATAAGTAATTTGTTTCTGCATCTCTGGTGATAAATGAATGTTTTGATAGATCGCTTGGAAGGCTTTTGCAAAAGCAAAGTACTGCTTTTGGAGTAAGTCTTCATTATCAGTGTGACAAATTCTCATACAGGGTCAGATCACGTGATCGATGCTGGTCAAAAGAGCTTGAAAAACTATAAAAAGGTGAGATAGTCCACAGTTTTCAATAGAAACTCTTTTCATCTTTTGATATTTTCTCTTTTAACATCCTAATCCCACTTCTAATCTTACACGCATAACTGACTCAAGAGCGTCTCTGTAATATCAAAAGGCTATTCTGTTAAATGCATCACGTCATAAAATATACATTGCCAAAAAAATGACTACAACGAAAATAAACTTGCCTCAGTCTGAAGTAATCCTCTGTGTCTCGTGGGATGAAAATGCTTTGATAGATCGCTTGGAAGGCTTTTGTAAATGCAAATGTAATTCGAGTTGGTCTTTATGATCAGTGTGACAAATTCTCATTTAGGGTCAGATCACATGATCGATGCAGGTCGAAAAAGCTTGAAAGAGGGATACTCCACACAATTTTCAATAGAAACTTTTCATCTTTTGATATTTTCTCCTTTTACATCCTGACCCCACTTCTAATGTTACACGCATAACTAAGACAAGAGTGTCTCTGTTATATATCAAAAGGCTATTCTGTTAAATGAATCCCGTCATAAAATATACATTGCCAAAAAAATGACAACAAAAATTGACTTGCTTCAGTTTGAAGTAATCGTCCGTGTCTCGTAGGGTGAAAGAATGCTTTGATAGATCGCTTGGAAGGCTTTTGCAAAAGCAAATACAAATTGCTGCTATTCGAGTAAGTCTTTATGATGAGTGTGACAAATTCTCGTTCAGAGTCAGTTCACGTGATCTATGCTGGTGAATCGAGTGTGAAAAACTGAGGAAAGTTGATAGTTTACACAATGTCAAATAAAAAATCTTTTGTCTTTTCATATTTCCTCTATTAACACCCTGATCCAAATTCTCATGTTACACGCATAATTGAGCCACGAGGGTTTCTGTAATATTTCGGAAGGTTATTCTGTTAAATAAAATATACATTGCCGAAAATGGGACTCAACCATAATAAACTTACCTCACTCAGAAGTAATTTTCTTCTGTATCTCTTGTGATGAAAGAATGCTTTGATAGATCGCTTGAAAGGCTTTTGCAAAAGCAAAGTACTGCTATTGGAGTTTTCATTATTAGTGTGACAAATTCTTAGTTAGGATGGGACAACAACAAAAATAAACTAATCTCAGACTGAGAATTTTCTTCTGTATCTCTGGTGATGAAAGAATGCTTTGATGGATCGCTTGGAAGGATTTTGCAAAAGCAAAGTTCTGCTTTTGGAGTTAGTTTTCATTATCAGTGTGACAAATTCTTATTCAGGTTCAGATCACGTGATCGATGTTGGTCCAGAGCTGCCAACCCTTACTATTTTGGCGTAAGGCTTACGAAATCAGGGTCTGAAATACGCGTTACGATTCTTTCTATATTCTTCCGATTTCAGTTTTTCTCGTTCAAAATTTATAATACCGGTATTTTCATAGCTGGCAGTCTGTAAAATTATACTAATATATTCATAATTCTTACAACGCTTGCTTAAAAGTATCATCGTTTCAGTTTTAGAAGGCCGAACACATTCATGTCAATGTTTTAAAAAAAACAAAAAGGATATATACCTCAGTTTGCATGTCCATTTATATACAAAACATCTTGAGCGGCATGGGGCCAAGGTCTTCCCTAGACCCCGCCTCACTATTTGTCATTTCAGAATGTTCACAGCTCTGCTGGTCAATAGCTTGAAAAACTGTGAAAAGGTGAAAGAGATAGTCCACACAATTTTTAATTGGAACTTTTTATCTTTTGATATTTTTTTTTACATCCTGATCCCACTTCTAATGTTACACGCATAACTGAGACAAGAGTGTCTCTGTAATATATTAAAATGCTATTCTGTCAAATGCATTCTGTCATAAAATATACATTGCCAAAAAAATAACTACAACAAAAATTAACTTGCCTCAATCTGAAGTAATCGTCTGTGTCTCGTAGGATGAAAGAATGCTTTAATAAATCGCTTGGAAGGCTTTTGCAAAAGCAAATGCAGATCGCTGCTATTCCAGTTAGTCTTTGTGATCAGTGTGACAAATTCTCGTTCAGAGTCAGATCACGTGATCTATGCTGGTAAACTGAGAAAAGGTGAGAGTCCACACAATATCAAATACAAAACGCTTTCGTCTTTTCATATTTTCTCTAATAACACCCTGATCCAAATTCTCATGTTACACGCATAATTGAGCCACGGGTGTTTCTGTAATATTTCGGAAGGTTGTTCTGTTAAATACATCTTGTCATAAAATATACATTGCCAAAAATGGGACTCAACCATAATAAACTTACCTCAGTCAGAAGTAATTTTCTTCTGTATCTCTGGTGATGAAAGAATGCTTTGATAGATCGCTTGAAAGGCTTTTGCAAAAACAAAGTACTGCTATTGGAGTTCGTTTTCATTATCAGTGTGACAAATTCTTATCCATGATGGGACAACAACAAAAATAAACCAATCTCAGACAGAGATAATTTTCTTCTGTATCTCTGGTGATGAAAGAATGCTCTGATAGATCGCTTGGAAGGATTTTGCAAAAGCAAAGTACTGCTATTGGAGTTAGTTTTCACTATCAGTGTGACAAATTCTTATTCAGGTTCAGATCACGTGATTGATGCTGGTCAAGAGCTTAAAAATTTTAAAGGTGAGAGAGATAGTTCACACAACTTTTAATAGGATCTTTTCATCTTTTGATATTTTCTTTTACATCCTGATCCCACTTCTAATGTTACACGCATAACTGAGACAAGAGTGTCTCTGTATTATATCAAAAGGCCATTCTGTTAAATGCATT